CTGCAGGAAAGCCAAGGTGTGAGGAGTGCAGAGTAACCCATGGGCTGGCAGCGACGCAGGCGAGGAATGTGTCAGGCAAGTTTGGCCACAATAAGTACCTGCTTAGCAGGCAGAGGATGTTCAGTTCTAAATCAAATTGCATATGAAGAGTGAAAATTGCTGAGACTGGTATTTACCTGTGAAACCAAAATTACTTCGTGAAGAAAATAATTACAGACAGACTGTCTAAAAATCGGTTGTGAGTCCTTATTAAGCAGCTGAGACAGAGACACCACTGTGAAATGAAGCACAGCGTTCAGAGCTACAGCCTACATTTTGTTCTGGTTGCATTGCAATGCCTTTCGAGTTTAAGGAGGTCTTCCTTAAGAAGTTTAAGGAGGTCCTTTTTTCCATGCAGTATTAATAAGTCAGCACAAGGGAGAAACCCTATTACCAGAAAAGGCTGATGAGTTCAGGGAATTAGTCGGGGAAACATGAATATTATAGTAAAAGCAGTTGCTTGTTGCCAATATCGAGGCACCAGTGAGGCAGCTGAGCTCAGTGTTGGCTCTGTCCTACAGGGACACATTCAGGGCCATGTCCCAGACTCCATCCTGCAAATGTGGAGCTTCAAGGAGAGCAGCTAAGGATCTTTTGCTGCAGCTCTCCTCCCTGACACCCATCCCTCATGATGTCTTAGAGTCATAGAATTAATAAGGTTGGAAAGACCACTAGGATCACCTTGTGCCACCATCAACCAACCCATCACCACCGTACCAAACTGTGTCACCCATTCAACATCTGCCCTTCTCTTGAAAACCTCCAGGAAAGATGACTCCAATACTCCCTGGGCAACAGCCCTGACCACCCTTGTGCTCGCCTCTGGCTGCTCTGAGCAATGAATGGTTGACAGACACACAGCATTCCAAGAGGTTTTCTGAGGCTGGGACTCTTTGGGTCTTCCATCAGAAAGCAAAGCAGCACAGCCTATTGCTCATCAAGCGTTCTTGTCTTAGCACATCTGAACAACTGAAAAGCACACCAACATTCAACTTCAAAATAAAATGCAGTGAAGTGTGAAATTATACCTTTTATTCCATAAATCTCCAGCAACCTGCACAGCTCTGTAACTTGTATCACGCTTTAATATTGGCAGAGTTTAACACACCATGCAGACCCCATAAAGTAATTACATTTCATCTCAACAAAGAAACAAAATCCCAGCTCATTCATCCCCCTCCATCTGAGGAAGGATTATAGACAATTCAGTGCATGTCGATTTTTCCTGGCGATAAATCCAAAGCAGGTCACCAACAAAATGGTAATGTGGCTTCCCCAGGCAGCTGATTTACAGGGAAAAATAGAGATATAGTTTGGTGTCCTTCAAGGCACTCTCACCCTGCTAAAACCCCTCTGCTTTCTGAAACTTCTTGAGTTATCCTCTATTTACAAGAAGCTTAAAAACATAAAACTTACTGAGAATCGACCATTTCCACGCTTTGCAATTGCTCATCTTTTGGGTTTTGTTGCTTTGGTTTTATGAGTTTTGTGCCAGATCCTCATTCAGCTTTTAAAGAGTTGCTTCATTTTGCAATAAATGAAGCGATTTGAGCAATAGTGGCAGAAAGACATCAGAAAGCACAGACACATTCACACCTCAAGGCACCAGCCACTGCCTGGCCACCAATCCACCAAGATCCCCTTGGGCCACCAGGCCTGGGCCAAGTATTCAGCTGTTTGCCATGATGGAGGTGGCCACCAGGCACAGAACACCACAGCCACAAGGGAAGGCATGAAAGTGCCTTCTTCCTGCCATCCCAAAATCAGCCACTGGGAAGGCATAAAAGTGAACACGCTGGCAAGAAGAAAAGGCACAGGCCTTGACAATACAGATTGGTTCCCTTCACCCAGGAAAGCAAAGACATGAGCTGGTGTACGCAGCTGTATTACCATAGAGGGATCTTTTGTACGTGGAGAAGGGGCAGTGAAACCTTAACAGCAGAGAGGGTTAAATTCTGCTCAGCACCACCAGAAGCCGGAGAAGGGCTGATGGAAGACATGGAATTTGATGGGGAATTTTTATTTAAAAAAGTTAGCAACCTTCCTGGGAGTCCATGAGCAGCTGAAGACCAAACTGAGTAAAAAAATGCAAGGTGAGCACTAGGTGAGTTACACAGGGCAAATTGTTATGATGAATTATAATAAAATCAGCGAGGAAAAATAACAGAGACCTGAGATGCCAAGAAATGTCATTTCTTCTGCCCTCCTTCTGCCTGGTGCAGGCACGGCACCAGGGCAGCCCCATGGGTGCAGACAGTCCCAAACCATCACAACAACAATGCGGTTACTGGGTAGTAACTCAGCAGATGGTGACTTTTTGAAGTTGATTGCGATACAAATGATACTTTCTGAGTTTGTTTCTTTCCGTTCCGATTCTCAGTAGCATGTTCAAATGTCAGGGAGCATCATATTTCTATCTTTTATTTCCTCTGTGAGAAGAAATCTTCCTTAAGAAGCCTCAGAATTACATCTTGGGAGAAAAGCTGTGCTCCCTCGATGAAAGCAATCTACTTTATAAACATTCCAGAGTACAATAAAAATAATAGATGCAAAAAGCCCCACTGGCTTTTTTCTCAGTGGAGATTTTAATTTCTATTGCACTTTTTACAGAGACATTCTATCGGCACTGTGATGCCTTACTGGGTTGGTGGGGCCCATTGACAGCACAGAGGTAAGATCTCCTCTGTGTCCCCAGGTGGGCTCCCACCCCTGCCATCCCCCTTCTGAGTCCAGCCCCCAGTGTCTCATTCTGCCCCACTGCACTAAGTAGCAGCAGGTTTGCATCACTCAGATGATGCGTCCCCAAAGCCTGCCCTGCCACAAGCAATAAGCAAACCTGGGCAGCACAGCATGCAGGATGGCCGTATGCTCACTCAAACATTGTTTTTCAGCCACACGGAAGCAGTAGAAGCAGCTGCAAGTGAACTCACTTCACTGAACAAGGCCCAAAGACAACTTCCTCCAACTAACATAGGGCCAGTCTGGAAACCTGCAGGTGAGGAGCAGATAGAAGCATCTGATCCTCAGTGCCACATCTCCACAGTTGTCAAACACCTCCAGGGATGGTGACTCCACCACTCCCTGGGCAGCCTGTGCCAGTGCATCACCACTCTCTCTAAGAAGAAAGTTTTCCCAACATCCAACCTGAACCTCCCCTGGCACAACTTAGAGCCATTACCTCTTGTGTTATTATCAGTACCTGGGAGAAGAGGCTATGAGTCCCAGTGCACAGCTGGGAGCACAACATTTGGCCAGCGGTGCTTCACCCAACATCCTTCCATATTCAGTGCAAGTGAAGCAAACTGGAAGCCTCAAAGGCACAGCCATTGGTAAGGCTGGGATTTGTCTCCTCTTGTCATTAATTGCCCAAATCAGAGCTGCAGAGCTGGCACTATGCTCCACTACACTTTGTAATGAAATCACTGACTGTGCCTAAGAAACAGATTTAATGATATGATACTAATAGAGTCACATATTTCCCATGCAAACATTCATGATCTATATCCACACCCTTTTTTTAATACTGCTTTTGCTTCATAACAAAATATCGAGCACGGCACCAACTGGCATTGGGCAGAGGACAGCAAGTACTGGAGCACTCCTACTGTTAATCACATACACAAGGAATCTGTGGCTGTGGGGTCAGAGGTCCCCATGGGCATCCATCTGCATTTTGAGGCTCTCAGCAGCCAAAGGAGCAATGGAGAGGGGCTGGGTGCTGCAGAGGGGTTGGGTGTTGTAGCAGTGGGGAGGGATTTGTGCTCCAAGTTCTCACTCAGCAGTCACCAAGCTGTCTCAGAGGAAGGGCAGGGACTGGGGGTCTGAGGAAGTGGGAGATGTGCTAATTGCCTCCGACAGGCGTAATTGCTGCAATTCAGAATGCTAAAAATGTGAAATTAGGAATAATCAATGGATGTTTATGATCTGTGTCGATACCGTGAATTCAGCTAATACAGAGTAATTACACTCTTCTAATTCCCGGTGTTTGTCATCGTTGGGTTGCAGAGGAGTCCTGCAGAACAATAACAGCGGATTGGCTGTGCTAGAGCTGCAAACTGTGGGCTTAGCGCGGCGCGAGCTAATTTCTCTTTTAATGGTAAAAGCGGTTATGATTTCCCTTATTTATTCCTCTCTCCGAGCGCCGGGGGCTGCGCCAGGGCTGCAGCGGGTGATGGATGCGCTGCGCAACAGCACCACCAATTGCCACGCCGGCACAAAGCATAGCAAGCACCCACGGCTGCGCTCCTGCTGCCAGGTGGCGCTTCGGCCGCTCGCCCCATCCCGTGGCCCCGCACCTCCTGCCAGGATTCGTGCCTCCAGATGGCCACCGCCACTGGGTGACAGCCATGAGATGTGTTGTCAGGGTTAAGGAACTTGCGCGTGTTTGCAAAGGTAACTACCAGTGGTGCAGTTAATGGTACCGCTGACTAGAGAAGGAAGCCTCCAGCCTCTGGCAAAGAAGGGGCAGAGGCATGGCATGTGGGGCTCCCAGCTCCACTAAGGCAGTGAAAAGGAGAAACGAAGTGGTGCTTCAGCAGCAGCTGCAGACAGGATGGGATTTGGCCATGGTCCCACTCCTGGGCCCAGCTTGGTCACTGCCACTGCCTCACATCCCTGCCCGCCTCCTGCATCCTGCTCGGCTCCACAGTGGGAGCAGGGCCTCTCCCTAGTTAACCATTGACTTGCAGGGGGAGCTCTGGCCACAGGTACCCGCCCGAGCAGCCAGCATGCAACCAAATGTTTTTATGGTCAGAGGAAATTAGAAACGCTCTGGCAAACAGTGTTGCTCCAGGGAGGAGTTCAGCAGTGCACACAGGCAGATCTCCTGGGCCCCTGGGCAGGCTCTGGGTGGAGCCTATGCCTAAAGCACCATTGAAATCTTTAGCAATATTTATACAGGAACCTTTTTGTTCTCAGAATGGATTTTAAGCAAATAGGTTTCCGGTTTATTAGACAAATACCTCTGGTTATTGCCTGCCGTCCTCTGCAGCTCCTTCCTTCTCTCCCTCTTTTCCAGTGGCTCTGGCTGACAGCGGAGCGCTGTGCTCTTTCCAGCATAAAAAGAAAAAGAAAAAAAAAAATCAATCCAAACAATTAAAAGAGAACATAATAGAAATCCCAGGAGAGGGTTGCCCTCTTGTAATGCAATCAGGTTCCATCAATTTCACTGCTAAGGGACTTCACCCAATGAGTTTTACCTGGGATTAAGGTGAAAATAAATAGCCCGAATAAATACATGACTTCCCCAAAGTGGTGGTGTTTATTGGTTTATTTTTCCATTTCTCTCCCTCTGCAATGAAATCAATACATGCATAGAAAACCACGAGTTGGGCGAAGCACTGTGCAGTGGGAACACAAATGCAGGCGTGTGCCCCCACAGTGACTGGGACACAATGGGGACATTTTGCAACTTTCTATATTCTAGGTCTGAAGTCATTGCCAGCTGCAGGCTTTACTCATTGCACTTGAGGGAAGCTCAGAGAGCTCCAAATGCAACCCACTACCAGCCTGGAGGTCTCACATTTTGCAGAGGGGGATTTCAGAGATAAAGGGCCACTGGGGCTGGCAGAGACAAGGTTGGAGGGAGTAGGAAAGGGCTGTGGAGGATGCAGAGACACAGTGCTGTGGGCATTTTCCATAAATGTTGGCAATGGGACCCAGAAAAGGGTCAGAGAGGAAGGAAAATTTCTCTCCTTCTTCATAGCATGCAAACCTGAACTCAGCCTTCAGCCCAGCCCTGCTACAATTCACTGCTTTTTATTTACCCTTCAAACAGGAAAAGCAACTCTCAGCGCAGGTCCTTTACAGATTTTCTACACCAAGCTTATCTCCGAGCACAGCAGCACTGGGCACACTGCTGCAGGTGAGGCTCTGCCTTCCGGCTTCAGGTTGGGCTCCAGGATGGACCACACCATGCTGTGACCTCAAATTTGGACGGTAGGATTGGGTCCCTGTGGGTTTCTGCTGTGTGTCCATGGGGGACGCGGTGGCAGCAGGGAGGTGGGCAAGTTTGGGTGGGAAGTGGTTCATGATCCCACTTGCAACCCTTCCCAATCCACATGGGCCAAGACATTGCACGATCAGGGAAAGGGAAAACATTTGTGCTCCTGTGCCGCGCGTCCTTAGAGCTGGTGCTGCTCTGCCAGTGTAGGAATTGCTCCCAAACTCTGCTTCTTGTTAGAAATGCCCGCAGCTGCATCACCATGAGCCCAACAGACTGTATGCAAATTAAGAGGCCAAATTGTTTGCTGAACAGAGAGAATGCACCAGCCCTTGGCAGCAGTTTCTTTCCTTTTCCTTCTGATTTAAAGAGAGGACTTTCCTCTGCAGACCTCTCTGGCCATGCCAGCCTAAACTGCAAGCTGTCAGTGGCATTCTGCAGTCCATAATATTGAAAACTCACCCTGCATCATCCCAGAAGGAAATGATGCAGGGCTGTGCCGGCAAATACACCACTTGAGCTATTCCTTGTCAGCGGCAGGGAAGAGTTCCTGGGAAAAGGACAGCACTGGTGAGTGACAGGGGATCAGCACGGGGCCTGCAGAATGACTCTGATACATCGGAGCCAGGACTTTGATACGTCAGGGTGGGGACAAGCATGTGCCCAACAGGAATCCATGCATTTATGGTGGCTTAGTTCCCAACCTTAGTCAATGCAAACATGCTTAACAGAGCAATTCTTTTTCATCTAACATCCGCCTGGTTTTTGTAGATTACAGCCACGCTTCACAGTGTTTCTCCTTGCTCAGGGTGACGCAGGACCAGTGACAGCCCCTCGCTGTGTTCCCCCAGCATGCGGGTGACAGGTAAGGATGGAGACGAGCATTTACTTTTCCCAGTCCCATTTTCTACAGCTCTTCATACCTATTTCTCATTTGCATCGCCCATTTCAAGCCCATCTGCCCTGCCATCCCCTTACCAGCATCACAGGAAAGGGCATTTGTATAAGCATCAGGTTTTTATGATATTTGTGTAGATTTCAGGCTGTTGTGTATTTCCCAGCTAAACCTTCAGAGGCTGAGAAGTGATAGCTGCTGAGAGGTTCCTGCTTCCATAAGAGCCATTCAGCTGCAATCTAAGTATATTTTTCTACCCTGTTTCCATGCATGACAGGAATGTTTTGCTCCAGTGAGTGTTGCTTTAAAGCCGAATGCCAATCACATTTGTATTAGTGGCTGCTTGGCTGTTGTTGGTGACTAATTGGGGGACAGCAGCCCTCCCAGCACTGGGAAAATAGGAAACACTTGCATTTATATTGCTTTCTAACTAATTATCAGATTAACTTTAATGCAGAGAGGAGCATGAATAATGCCCTTTGGTGGAAGAGTGATGCCGATCTGAGGATCAGCGCTCACTCTGGAGACATTAATTAAGAGACCAGAGTCCTTGTAGAGGATGAGGAAAGGAGTACTGGCCACCTGCCATGCCACGGCAGCCACTCTGTGCAAGGGGAACTGGAGATGCACAGACTGCGGGATGCCCCAGGGATGCCCTTCCCCCTACCCACGTCCTCCTCTCACCAGGCATGATCCGGATCCTGGTGCCGCTGGCCACACTGCTGAGCTTCTGGTTCATCATACAGACATACTCTGAGCACAGAGGGAGAGCCATCAGCCTGCGGAGCTGGTTGGGTGAGTGCATGGCGGCCCCTGGTTGGGGGCACAGCCACCAGCTCTGTAATGTGGGCACAGCGGGGACAGGGCAGTGGGAAGTTCTGCAGGAGTCCGGGGATACTCACAGCCCCGAGGAGAGGTTTTGGTGGGCCCGTGGGATGCTGACCTCTCCTTTGTGTCTGCAGGTTCCACCAGAAAGCCCATGAGTAGTGAGTACCACTCTTGGCTTCATCTCATACACAACACTGATCCGGGCTTGAGGGCAATGGTCGGAGTACGATGACTGCTTGCAAGACGAATGTCTCACCTTCACAAATGCAGGGGGATCTCCCTATGGCCCTTGTGTAGATTTCAGCACAGCAGTGTCTTCAGCAGGCACATGGGCCTTTACACATCCCATGCCTCAGCACAACACTCTCAGGCCATGGGCTGCAGGAAGCCAGCAGAGGTCCTATGCATGTGGTGAGGCTGCAAGCCTCACCCCAGCTGAAAATGGGGAAACTCAGGGCAGAAAATTCACATAGGGCTGGGCTTGAATGGGTGCCAGCAGCGAACACTCCCTGTGACACCTGCCCTCTGTTCACACAAAGTAGTGCCCGACTCCAGCTCATTACGTCCCATCCCAACTCCATCACCGCCCATCACTGGCCCTAGGACAAGGCTGGAACGTGCCTCACCCCACAGCGCACCCTGACAGCAGACATGTGCCTCAGCCCCAGCCCCAGGGCTCGTGCCCCCCCCCCACAGCTCCCTGCTCCCCCCAGGCCCACCACAGCCCCGCCACAAATGTGAGAACAAGAAGGACTGCCCCGCCGACCACTTCGCCTTCCGGATCATCAGCGGTGCCGCCAACGTGGTGGGACCTTCCATCTGCTTCGAGGACAGGATGTAAGCAGTATGGGGAGGGGGTGGGATGGCAGCAGGGCAAGTTTGGCCTCTGACTGCCAAGCACAGACCACTCCACAACAGTGGAGAGTTTATCTTTGTGCCTGGGGATGGTTCATGGCCTGCTGCCACTCACTGGTCTCTGCTTTCCAGCCTCATGAGCACCGTGAAGAACAACATTGGCAGAGGGCTGAACATAGCGCTGGTGAACGGTGAGTTGGGCCCCGGTGGCCCAAAGGCTTTGTGCACAGCCTACTTCAGGAGAGCATCAACCACGGTGCACGTGGGCCTGGGACGCAGGGGAGCCTCTCTGGAGACCCACCCTGACTGTGTTGGGAATTTTCAACCCTTAGGAAAGAGCGGGCAGCTCCTGAAGGTGGGCTCCTTCGACATGTACTCTGGAGGTAAGCACGGTGCCCTCGGTGCCAGCGGTCACCAGCACTGTAGCAGCTCTGCTGTGTGTGCAGATAAGGGCTGCTGGACTTTGGCCATCACTGGTGGTGGACGTGTGGCTGCCCAGGGTCACAGCTGAGCTGGGCTTCTGGCTCCCTTCTCACTTACAAAAGCCTGAAGAACAAAATCCCACTAAACCAAACACTCTTTATGTTTGTTGGTCATGAAAACTATATTGGTAACTCCAGAATTTTAAGGAGAAACACTGACATCATGAGATTTCTTGTAGTCTGTGAGCCCCAAGCAGCAATCAGCTGTTGTGCCACTAGATGGGGCATTGGACTCGAGCATCCCGCGCAGCAGATGCAGGATGAGGAATAACTCCTGCAATGTGCACAAAACTGCTGCCACCAGGCAGGAACTCTGCAGCCAGGCTCATTCCTGGTGTTGGAAATTTAATTCATATGAGCAACGTCTCACAGCTAGTTAGCCAAATTAGCAGTATATTTCTCCTTATGGTCGTGCACAGCAGGCAAGCAGCAGTCCCAAACCTTCCTATCACCAGTACCATGCACAGCACTACTAAAACCCTTTTCTTTTTCCTAACGCTCCTCTCAGATGTTACAAAGCTGGAGACCTTTCTCGAAGATATCAAGGATGGCACCATCATGCTGGCAGCCACCTATGACGATGCCGCCACAAAGTGAGTTGGGCCCCATGCGTGACCCTAGGTGCCCAAAAACCAGCAGCAGTGCTACGGCTGGGGGTGCTGCTGCTGCCAACCTCCACAGCCACGTGCTGCCAGCTCTTTCTTCTTAGAAAGAGTGGTGAAGCACTGGCACTGTAGCCCAGGGAGTGGTAGAGTCACTGTTCCTGGAGGTGCTCAAGAACCACAGAGATGTGGCACTGAGGGTCAGTGGGCATGTTTGGGTAGGTTGGTGGTTGGACTTAATGATCTTAGTGGTCTTTTCCAACCTTAATGATTCTATGATTCTATGACAGGAGGGGGCCCACACAGCACCATACTGATGTTTTTTTTTCTGTCTCTCAGGATGAACAACAAAATACGGGCACTTTTTTCAGCACTGGGCAGCAGACACGTGAACCAGCTGGGCTTTCGAGACAACTGGGTCTTCTTAGGGGCGAAGGGGATGAAAGACAAGAGCCCCTTTGAGGAGGTACATGGCCCAGCCACCATCTCTCATGTCTCACTCACCTATCTGCAAGCTTTGCCTCACTGCAAATATACCCAGTGCCACTCTCTTCATAATGTTTTTTTTTCTCTTTTTTTTCCTGTAGCACATCAAAAATGACCAGAAAACAAATAAATATGATGGTTGGCCAGAGCTGCTGGAGATGGAAGGCTGTGCCCCCAGGAAGCAAGATTAGAAGGGACACTCTGGCAGCACACCTGCATGGAGCCCAAGCCAGGTCTATGTGGACACCAACCCCCCTGGACCGAGCAAGCCCCCGGCCCGGCCACACGAGGCTGGTGGAGGCTGCTGGCTCCCAGAGACCGGCATTCTGCTGTGGGGACACGCGGTGCTCAAAGCAGCTGCAGCATGCAGGTGAGCAAGCACCCAGCCAGGCTCCAGCCAAGCTGCCCTAGTCCATGGCTATGCGTTGATGTGGGGCATTTTATTTTTTTATCTTCAAACCAAGCATTTTGTGATAAGTTTTCTAGTTGTTTCTTAAATAATATACCTAATTATAAAGCAATACCTCCTTCCTTCTGCTTTTGAGCGTAATCCAGGCTTTTCCCCACAGGCCTGGCATTGCCAACCCCTCTGTCACCAACCAGCTGTGTTTCCCATCCTCTGTCACAGCACCACACATGGCTGTCCCCTGCCCACAGACATGGGGGTGCTCTATAGCCACAATAAGGCCATGGTGGTGGCTTGCTGGTCAGTGTGTGCAGACAACGCACATTTGCCCACCTTGTTGCTCTTTTTCTGGGTTAAATCCAAGCTAAATCCTCCAAAGATCAAGACAACACCATAACCCAATGCCTCCATCCCAAACCAGCAAGATGGCAGATTTTCCCTAAAGAAGGAAAAACCCAAAGCAAAAACCCCAGGCAGCCAACGCAGAGGAATTCCCTGCTAGCTGTAGTATTTTATCCAAGCTTATCCTCCTGCACTCTTAGCGTGCACCTGACCATGCTGCGGGAAGCCCCTGCCATACATCGATCCCTAAATCTGCTGCAGCAGCAGCCGTTAATCCCAGGCACTGAATCACCCACAGGGCAGCAGCAATGAGCACCAGCACAGCACAGCAGACACAACAGCCCTCGCGCCACACACCCTGCTGCACCGCCAGCAGAAATATGCCAACTATTTTAAGCCCCCTCAAAGGATCTGGATTCGCTTGTAAGCCAAACTGAAAACAGCCTGGGACCCGTAAAGGCTTTTGCAAAGGGGAAAGCAGCACCCAGCAGCAGCTACAGAGGGGAAAAACAACTAGCCCCGTTTGGCTTCGGGAAACTCTTCCTGGCCCATTGCAATCTGTATTGTTTTGACTTAACACCAGAAGCCTTTCCAAAGGAAATGTATGTCTCAGCATGCTACAGGCAGCTATAAAGAGATCTGACCCATTACTAAGTGTTACAGAGGCACATGCAGTTTTGGATCAAAAGGGAGAGCTGAAGTGCAGCTCCTGCGTGACCTCACTGCACAGCCAGAGCTTCCTCCCCAAGTTACTGCAGCCTGAAAAATAAATCAAAAATCCCACATTTTACTGGGAGTCATAAATACGGCTTCAAGTGCCACGATTATTTAGAAAATTTAATTTGCTAATTAAGGGTGATGGCTGATGGACAGCAAGCCCCACATGAGGTTGTTTTTCCATCTCCCCACTGCTTCGGAAGGTGCAGAGATGCAGACAGTGCCTACCTGGGTGAGCACACTCAGTCGCAGTATGGTGTCCCCAACTTGCGCAGACCCCGAGCCCTGCCCAGAGCGGTGGCTGCAGCCCCCAGGGACATCCACAGGATCAGATCTGCAAAATCCAGCGCTGCTGCAGAGCCGGGTCTCAGGGGCTGTCCTGCCTTATTTTGGGGTAACAATTTATTTCAGCAAAGCACCAGAGAACAAGCCAGAAAGGATGCCACAAGCGAGGACTGCTGGGTGCCGGGGCCCCGCAGCTGAGCGAATCCGCGTCCTGTGACATCTTGCCCTGTCAAGTGCAATTACTGTAATCTTCCACAGCCTCTCAAAATACGGAGCCCGGCTTAGAAACCGGGCATCCGCAGCATGAAAGCTGCCTTTGTGCCCGGGCAGAGCCTGGGTGCGCGCCAGCCGTGAGGTGCACGAAGAAAATGAGTTCTCCACGTGCTGGGAGAAGGGAGGAGAAGGGAAACCTCCCGGCCGGCCCCACTGCAAACAGGCTGGAGCTCACCCTCCTCTCCCCGTGGGGACAGAGAGGGCACCGGGAGCTGCGTGGCCGCCAGAACACACGGGCATAGCAGGGACGGTGCCAGGGGGGCACAGCCGAAGTCCTGAACAATGGGAGGAGCGCATGGGAAGAAGGTACGTGGGTGCGGGAAGAATGGGGGGTTTGGGGAGAGGGCACTGTTTGCTCACGTGGGGCTTGTTTTGCTCGCCGTGTGCTACAGGTGGTGACAGCAGAAGGGGATTATAGTGGGACTGAGCCGCTCTTAAGTAGTGCCACCTGATGGTTCAGTGCTGGGGCCCTGCTGGGCCTCTGGGGACAGCAAGGAGGTGATGGGGAGAAATGTCAACCTTGCAGAGCAAGTTGTAGCACTAAGCTTGCACCCAGCTTTGGTCCCCACTGCCCATCATCACTTCCTTGCTCCCAGCTGATGGAAGCTGGGGTGAGCCACCACCCCACAGCACGCGATGACAAGCACACATCCCTTAGGAGAGCGGCCACAGAGCTCTGAAGGGAACAGTGCTGAGAGGCCCTGAGCCACTCAGAGGTGCTGGAGGTGGCTGTGCTGTGGATGTCATTGGGTGTCACTTTGCCTGGAGATATGTCACCACCATGTGGTCGGGCTGCCCTGCTCTGGCATCAGCTCTTCCACAGCTGCCCTTCCAGCTCCCTCCAGTAGGTCAGGAAAAACAGAAGGGCTGTCTGAGTTCCTGACCCGCATAAAGCTACTCAGCTTACAGAATGCTTTAAGAATGCATTTTCAATTTGTCAGGAGCAATACCAGGAAGGTCCTCCTGCTTTCCCCCTGTCCAGTATCAAGCTTCAAGGAATCCAAACTTCCGCTCCCTCCTTTCGTCCTCTATCAGAAAGTTAAAATGAAATTTAAATGAAAATCCCTCAAAAAAGAGCTGGGCTAGAACCCCAATTACACCCAAGCAGCGCCCAGTGACCCAAAACTGGCACCTGATCTTCATCCGTGCACATGTGCACAGCATTATTGAGGCCGGGGCAATAAGCTGGTTATGTCAGCCTTGGCTTGGAACTCAGTGCTCCCACCCATCTGTGCCATCCTCCTGGTAGCTCTGGGGCAGTTCTGTTGCCGCTCCCTCTCTCCAAGCAGAGCGCTGCCAGCAGGGCTCACGGCTCAGTGCTTTACCTAAGGGGCAGGGAGGGTGTATGGGGTGGGCAGCAGAGCTCTGCTTCCCCTACAGCCCCTGCAAGAAAGCAGCACAGGGCACTACCGGGCACAGCTCTGGGAATACATGGGAGCAGGAGGAGGGCTCTGCACTGCACGCCAGTGCTGCCTGTCAGCAGTCTCAGCTGAGCCCCTGCCAGGCTCAGAGCAGAGCAGCATCCAAGGGTCAGCAGCAGGGATGTGGAGTGCAAGGCAATGCTCTGCTCCACAACAAAAGGGGCTGGAAAGGCTGCCAGCGGGGCTCCAAGGACATGGCTGCTTTCAAAGGCTGCAGCTGCTCCCATAAACCTCCTCTGGCATCAGCACTGACAGCAGGACACGGGGCTTTGCCCGGAGCCCTGTGCTGCAAGGCAAGGACCAGAGCCAGCCCAGGGTTCCCTGCTCACAGATCCTCACTGCTCCGCATAGCATCAGCCCCTGAAAGAAACCCTTCCAACAGTCACACAAAAACAGCACCAGGGTTTGCACCGCAGCCATTTCCCCAGGGAAAGTTCTTCTGTCCCCAAATTCCCAAGAGTGTCACTTTGCACTAATGTCAGATGAGCTGAGATTAGGAGAGCTTTGCTCTGCTGCTGGGTGAAAACAACAAGAGGCAGAACGCCAGTGCTGGCGGTGGCCCTTGTTCAGCACAGCAGCACCTGGTGCCCACACTGAGTTTCTCCATGGGAATGGGACAGGCAGCCAGGGCTGAGCACTGAGCAGTGTGACCAACCCCAAGCAGGTGAGACCCAAAGCAACCTCACCACATGGGCACACAGCTGGCACCACACTCAGCACCATCTGCAGAACCCGTCTGACAGGGAACAGTGATGCGCTGCCAGGGCAATGTTAAAAGGAGATTTTAAAAGTCCATAGTGTTAGATGAAAGCTCTACAGGATGAAAAAGCTGGCTCTTGCCATTCAAGAGCTTGGAAACCCTTACCCCAACTACAAAAATCCTGGGCCCTTACAGTGGAAAGTGCAGGATGGAATAAGGCAAACAAGAGGCACTGTGTCTGTGGCTGGCAGAAGAGAGGCAATGGGAAGGGAAAGGGCTGCTCCATGCCAGGGCTGCAGAGCACATGGAGGAAATGGCCTCAGCAGGGCCAGCATGGTGCCATCCTGGCACAGTGACACCGATGACACAAGGCTGGAGAAGCAGCCCCACAACATGGTTTTGTGGCACTGGCCATGGGAGCACATCCAAACCCAAATGGCAGTTGGGATCCACAGTGCTCCCTTGTCCCAAAGCACAGTGCCCAATGCACCTGTAGGGAGAGCATGGAAATCACTGCATGGCCACGCAGCAGCTGCCAGGTTGGGGATGGCTCAGCAGTCCCCAAATAGAAATGAACTAATGAAATTAAAGGCTTCGCTGCTTTGCTGCTGCCCTCTGCTCCGGGGGTTCGCTCCAATGCACCTGCTGCCTTCACAAAATCCCTGCTCTAGTGGGGATGCTGCACTTCTCTGCTGCTTCCTCCATTTGCAGCCAAACCCCGTCCCTTGCAGCCCTTTTCCTCCTGCCCTGCACGTTATAAACATCATTTTTCTTACTTTCATGCAGTCTCTTTATGTGACACTGAGCTTCTAGGCTGTCGGCACAATGCATGGAATAAATGCTGTCCCTATCACTCATGTGCCACAAGCCTCACTTTCTGCAAAGCTCATCCTTCAAGGCCCTTCAGTGTTCCTTAATGGTCTCTCTGCAGCATGACAGCAATTTGTTCTGCAGCTGCCAGAGCCCATTGTGCCACTGAGTGATGCTCTTCCCGTGCAGGCAGCGGCATCCCTAGAAATAGCAGAAATAGCATCAGCACTACCAACCCTAAAGTGCTGGGTGAAGACAAGCTCCTGAGACAGGTTAAAATCATTGCTCACCCACTGCAACCTCCCACCCGCTGCTAGCAATGCTTGGGCGGCTGATGTTGGTATTGCCCACATAGTGCAGGGTGAGAACTGGGATCTCTTTGAGCAGCGCATGAAGTCGGTCCCCATTCCCCATCGTGCCCTGCAGGAGGGCTGTGTTGCTGCCCGACCACCAGTGGTGTTTGTGACAAAGCCACACAGAGGTCAGTACGGCGCTCATCCCTGTCCAATGCTGTTGTCTTTATGAATAACAGACAACTTTATAAATAAAAGCTCTACACGAAGCATT